GAAGTGAAATGAAGAGCAAGCAACAGGATACATGCAGATGATCTGAAATCGGTGCCTGGTTTCCCTACTATCGAAATCTATCAACGCTTACAGTAGGGCCTTGGGTTAGTTTTATTTCAAAAGAAAATGAAGGGCTTCCCTTTACCATTGGAAAAATCATATCTATTAAACGTAGCAAATGTATGTGGCAAAATGTATCTAATTTTTCATTCCACTTCTTGAAGTGGCTATTGGCCTTATGGTTAAAAATTAGGACAATAAGTTACTTATGTTTAATATTTCTAAAAAAATGTAAGAACATTGTTCATTAACAATGAGCATACATAGGTGCTATATTTAAACAACAGTGTTGTTTCATTAATTATTAGTCTCTCTCTCTCAAAATGATAATTTGTTTCAGTTCGGTGTCTTTGGCAGACTCCAAGTTTGGGTAGGACTGAAAAACAGTTCTCTCTTGTTCACAGAATGTTTCTTTCTCTAATGAAGTGTTGTAATAACAGGATCACTAATAAGGTGTTACTATCCACAGTTGTGTTCCCTCATGCTGCTATTTACACAACTGTAAAGTGGATGTGAAACAGCACCAGCTCCAAACTCTTAGTGTTTTATGCAGTCTGCGTTAGAGAAAATTACTACACAAAATGCAAGACAATAGTAAATCAGCCTTTTCTGAAATCCTGTCCTTGGGTGAAAAGTCATGGAGGTGATGGCTAGTTACAATATAGGCGACAGAGATGACTTTCTGTGATCAGGGATTCACAGTGAATATATTGTCTCAGCTGGAGGGGAGCTTTTGTTTCTTCATCCCCACTGTACATTCTGCTTGGGTAGAATAAAGGATTCCTCTCTGTACTGCTTCAGGATGGGCTGTCCAGCTGATCTAAATCTGTCCCTTGCTCATCACATAAGCTCCTGTCCTTTTCCGAAAAGATCTGTGTATCTTTAAGCATCCGCAGAGTGGGGGTTTACCAGCAGCAGAATGCACAGGCATGGTTATTAGCAGGTCAGTGTGTGTCAGGCTGTGTCAGGCCTGTACGCTTCGCTTTGCTCTTCTGCCTTGCGTGGCATCATCTTTCCCTTGTGTCATCCGGGGTTCCTCATGCTCATTGGTTTTCAACTCATGGCGTTTAATTATAAATGAAACAACAATGTTAGCTTACACATCCCCTTGCTTTTCAGCGTGTTCATGTTTTCTTCTTTACTCCCCAGCCTGAAATTAGAGGGCTGGTTGTGGTGCACTTCGGTGGCTAAGACCAAAAGCAGCCCAGTGTTTGCAGCTCATGGAATGTAACAACCTATTTGAAAGCCCCAGCATGTCAGTGCCCGAGAGCCCCTGGGAACCACCCACAGGTGGTGAAATCTGAAGTGTGCCCGGAGGGGTGTGTGTGACAGCTATGTGAGTGGTGGGGGAAACTTAAGCACTGGATTCCCACAGCATCTTAGATTGTCTGCAGGGACAGACCAGAGTTAACTTTAACAATCATGAAGGTTCCTTGCCTGCATTTGAGAGGTTAATCACTCATGAAGCTGACAAGTTCAAACTCTGTTTGTTGCCTGGCAGACTTGCTTTAAGCCAAACCCATGCAAAATATCCTTTTTAGCGGCAGCCTAGTTTGTTTTTCTTTGGGAACCACACAGGTACGTGTGCTCGCCTGAATGTGTAGATAAGCTCTTTACAAGTAGGTACCTAACTTGTTGACACATTTGTATTGGAGGTTTGGTGCTTGGTAACAGCTGTGTATACAGGAGAGGAAAAACTGGGAGATCCATGGCCTCTTCCACAACCCTGTAAACATAGCTTGGACACTTGTTTCTAAGGAGGCATTTCTGCCACTTCCATTTCAACAATAGCTCAGGCGTTTACTCACGTAGTTGCTTCTTATTCTCTCTAACAGTGTGTCATTATGCAGATACATAGTACATCTTGAATGGTTTATGTTCTCTGTGTCAGTAAAAGGGCTCCCTAAGCGTCAGAAGCCCACAGGAGTTCAAATCTCTGAGTAGTTGCACACTAGAATGGAATTACAGGATAGAAACAGAAGTGCTGAATATAAGTCCTTTCTGCCCAAGCTCTATTAGGATTTCCTCATAGTAGCAGGAGGGACTTCTCCTATAGATGGACTTACTAAGAGGTTTTTTTTTGGTTAGGCTGACATGCAAATGTCAAAAGGAAGTGGCTGGGGGAGGGGGGAGGGGGCAGAACAGAACGACATGTTTTATTTTTGCCCTAAAATTACCTTCGGTGAATTTAGTACAGTGAAAAGTGCTGTCTTGGGCTGTGCAGAGGATTGTCTTAAAGTTCTATCTCCTCAAAACAGACAGCAGTGACAGTGCTTTTTTTTAAATGGTTTTTAAAATGTGAATCAGGAGAAGAGGACAAATGCATTAAATCTCACATGTGTTTTCTCATTCTGTCCTCTGGTTCCATGGTGTAAATCAGGAATGACTTCTTGAGATCAATAAAATTAATTCAATATAAAATTAGTGTGATTCAGTATCAGTGTGATTTTTGCAAGGTGTGCAGTGTCTTCTAACAGTCAATGGACTTTTTTATCGGGGTAAACAGAATGGTTTAATCTTGATTTTTGAGTTTCTGTGATAGGTTAGTAGCCAGAAGAACAGAGGACACTGCGAAGATTGCCTGTAGAGCATGGTGGTGTCCCAGAAGTTCATGGTTAAAACCCTTCTATGACTCAATGACAGGGTGCTTCAGGGAGGACCAAGCAAAAATAGTTTACAGATCAGGCAAGCTCAGTGGGACAGATGTCTTGATTTGAGAGCAACAACATTTGAAATCAAACCCTTAAGTGTGAGATATCAGAAGCCTCTATATTTTTTTCGAGGTGTAGAACCAGCTACAGAGAGCAGTTGCTTGTCACTTTTATTGACCTCTTAAAATCATTGGCCTGCAGCGTGTTACAGTACAGCACTGTGTAACAGATCCCAGGACCCCAGATATAAGGGACTGAGCTAGAAGTTCTGCTGACATTTGAAAGTGTAACTAAGAGCAATGTAGAGAGTGATGTGGTCGTGCTGTAAGACTGATGTAGAGCTGTGGTTTGTGTTGGAAGCAGGAAGGAAGCAATTGGCACAGATTGAAACTGTGCACACTTGCAGCAAAGTGGTGCCAAGTAGCCGCTGTCCAAACACAGAACTAAGCCAAAGAGAAGAAGCATAAGTAAGATGGCAGCTGCTATGAACGGTGAACATAGAGCCAGTAGTGCTATAGGTAATATTATAAGTTTATTGAATAGACAAAATTCAGATATAAGAGTGAAGTTTGGCCGGACATCACAGCATCTTCCCCCAGCTGTGCTTCTCAGCCACTTCAGGCAGAGGACAGGCTATTGCTATGCACAGTTTCAAATGGATTTGTCAGTGCGCAGCGTTCTTAATTTTTCTGACTTGTGTTGTGGTTGAAAGTAAGGATGTCAGCATTTAACCAGATGAGACCGAGAAATTATGGGACTAGAAATACCCAGAACACTTGAGCACACGATGAAAGAGATGTGGCCGGAAGTGAGTCGAGAATTTATTTCTCAGCATAATCACCAGTGATTAATGATTCCAAATTTATGATTAACTATGTAGCAAAAAAATGGACAAGTATCTGCAGGAGATTGTTGGAGTCGCTGCTGAAACTCCAGGTCGCTTCACTGGGGAGAGTTTGTAGTAAGGCAATAGTCTATATATTCATCCCTCGATAAGAAGTGTGAAGTCCTGTGTTCTTTGTTTCGCTGGACTGCAGATCTGTTGTGTTCAATCTGCAGATAAAGCAACGTGTTTGGTTTTGTGATTTGCATCAGGGAATGGGGTCGGGATCTTAACTGCAACTCAGCTTAGGAGCTGTGAGCTGACCTAGACTTTTGCTTACTGTGCAGTGTCATTGCTCATAAAAGCTCTGCGAAGCCCAGCAAGTCTCAGTGACACTGAGGAGGTGCCGTTTCTTCTTACTTCAGTTATAACTGAAATAAACTAAATGGCAATTTGGCGTATTGTGTGTGGAGTGGGGTGGCTTCCAGCCTATCAGGTGTTGTGTTTCATGTAAACTTTTGATGAGTAAAAGCTGAAGTAAACAAGATTTCACTTGAATAGATCTACAAAATATAATTTTTCTGGGTACAAATTTTCTTAATGGCAATAGGATTGAGAGCTCAGGGGACTATCTTAAACTCACTTGTGGGAGATATCTCAATGTACTTTTATGCAAGTCAGCAGATTTAGGTAAAAATTTTGTAGAAGATGATGCTTCATGTAAGTTACTTACCTCTTTCTTTTACTGCTTGGAGTTTTGTTGCATGCTCAGACATCCTGATCTTGCCAGGGATATCCATATCCTTTTGACAGTATAATAATTTAGTAGCACTCTATATTATTTGAGGACAATGATATAGTAAATAATAATAAATAAGAAGTTAGAATTGTATCAGCATATGTTGATGTTCCTTCATGCCACAATGACATTCATCACAGTGTTAACTTTACACAGCAAGGTAAATTAAAACAGTAAGGGAAAGCATAACTAAGTACCTTTTTATTATGAGCATGAAAGCTGTGGAAGGAGCTAGAAAAACATAGGGCCTGTGTCAGCGCTGCAGACATTTGACCAGCTAGTCTTGTTGATTTCTGAGCTTTGGCTGATGTCGGGTGTCGGCAAAATCCTTTAGCCTAGTGTGGTTAAATTGGCAGAAGTTTACTTCTTACTGGTAGAACGCACTTTGAGTGGTGAGAGCTGGAATACAGTGGTTCAACAAAAATACAGCTTTAATGGCAGAAACTGCAGTAGCATGAAGGATGTTGATGGCTTCACTGCCAAATGGTCACAGTGTGGCCTGCAGGGCCTTCATTACTCGCAAGACTTTACCTGGCTGGAAGAGAGGCTAGTAGAAAGGTTTGCATGTAAGTTGCTAACTGCTGGGTGGCATACTAATAGCAAATATCTCAACAGCGGCTATCTCTAACCAATTCTTCCTCTCTATTTTACTCTGTTTCTCCTGCAGGGCTTGTGAAGTTGGGGGTTCATTGTGTCACATGTCAGAAGGTCGCGATAAAAATTGTCAACAGAGAGAAGCTCAGCGAGTCGGTGCTAATGAAGGTAATTTTCTAATGGGAGATTTAAAAAATAAGTTCTTGACTGTGTCTTGTGTTCCATGCAAAATTAATATCTTTAATTACGTATAACAAACATCCCTGTCAGTACTAGGATTATGCAGAGCATAATAACAATAATTTAGTTATGGAGGAGGCTAGGGCAGCTGAAATTAAATGGGAGTATACCTCTGCTTTGTGAACAAAATAAACGATCAGCTGCAGAGTTGTTGCTTCTCTGCTGGGGCAGATGTGAGTTGGGCAATTGACTTCTACCACTGTGGCAGTACATAATAGTTGCGATACATTGCAGACTGAGGTGTATAAATGTCAGGAGGAAGAGATTTAAGAGAGGCTAGTAAATCTGTTGTTTGAATACTCCTACTGCTTGCTCTGCTGCATGGCTTTGTTATGATCTGACGTGCCAAAGTCTGTGACTGTTTAAAACTGTTGTAATTCTGTTAACAATCCACAGAGCTGTGCCACTGGAAACCATCAAAGTGTCTGTCCCAATGGTCCCAATGACTGTAGTGTTTAGAAGAGCTTAATTAATTTTTTACCTAGCCTTGTGATACCTGTCACCTTACATGAATGTCATTGATGGATCTTGGAAACCTAAAACCAAAATAAATACATGCATATAAGTTTATTCATGTGATTTGGTGACTAGAAAGGCTAAATTCAGCTTGATGAGAGGGAGCACAACTGTGCTGCAATCAACAGAATTCCATCAAGCTGTCCCCTGCAAATGACACAGACAGGTCTACATGCAATGTAAAGCATTTCATTGAGGTAACTTCCCTATAAGCACATGGAGCATATATCTTTACACTGATGTTTCTTGCATGTCCTTCTCTGTCAGCTGTTTTCCAGCACACGTAAGTATAGCAACCTTACTAGGAGCAGAAAGAAAATGGAGATTAAAGGAATATGCAATCAGTGAATGTTACGCATACAATGTAAGTTGATTTTTTTCAGAGAAGGACTCTTGAAGTTTATAATCAATTGTAATGTGTTCAAACTTACCTTGCTGGAATTTCTTTGAAGTATTCCCTCTCCTGCAGTACTGTGGATTCTAATGTAGACCAAAAGTTAGAAAGTGAAATAGGTAAGAGAACTGCAGCTTTAAAGGGAGATTCGGTGGATGAATGGAACACAACGAAAGCAAAAAAAGTCGTAAATGGTAAAAGCTGAATGAGACTCTGAACACTTTGAATTTCCAGAGTAATGTAGTGGGAATATTTTTAAAAAAAACATCAGCATTTTGTTTGCTGAAAGACACTGTCTGGTATCTGTATAAAACATTTTATTTACCTCATTGATTTTCAGATTCGGAGGCAAATCATTTAGCATAGCAAAGTGATCTCTCTGCTGTAGTTGTGTTGTGTTACCTCTGGTGTAGTATGAAATCTGAGTAGTGAAACGGTGTGTTAGGCCCTTGTTTACTGAGCGGCACGCTGAAGCATGCTATGTTTTCAGTAAGATTGTACAGCATCTTTCTCAGGAAGAAACCACACGATGTATCATGATTCTCATTTTCAGACCATTCTTGATGAGATTTTCTCTTTCAGGGATTCTGTTCTCTGTGCTCAGGAGGTTGGAACAACAGATGGGATTGAAATTGTTTGCCCAGTTCTTACATAAACTCAGTAAACAGATGTCTTTTCAGGAATACCCTGTATGTGATGGTCACAGACAAGGCCCGAGACTTCTAAGTGAATTTGGAATTGACTGTACTGTTAGCCAGCTTAATCCAGCCTGGCTGAGGGGGAAAATGCTTGCAGCTTTCGGGAATCCTAGTGTGACCATTGCCAAGCATCCAGCTGACAGCTTTCTGCATGGAGTCAGCAGCCACAGGGAAACAGCCAACAGTGAAGCCAAGCCATGGTGCTGTGGTGGCATTCCGACTTTGCAAATCTTCCCACTAGCTTATCGGTTCCAGTGACTCTTTGCCAGTGGGCTGTGCAGAACAGTCCCTGGAGCCAAATGATTCAAGACCACAGCTACTCTCCCAGGCCAGGCCCAGATTGATGGATTTTGCTTTAATCCATCCTTGGACAGAAAAACTGGATCTGACATACGCACACCTGCCGCATGAAGCTGTTACACTGCACTTCTGTGGCCATTTATCCTAGAGCATAAGGAAGAAGTCTGCGTGAGATCCTTTCAACATCGAAAATGACAGGCACAAGCATATACAGTAGGCTGCTTTCTCTGCCATCATTATTCTGTTTTGACTTTCTTCTTAGCCTTCATTTCTCCAGTGTTTTAGCAGTGTTTTATTCTGTATGTTCAGGGAACTGTCCCTTCTGTCTGCAGCTGCGCTTCATCTGAGCTGTGCAGAATTGAGAGGCATTTGGTAAAATGCTTTCTAATCATAACGTCATAGTATCGATATTTCTGGAGAGAAGAATTTGGAATTGAAGCAGCTGGTCTCAATTAGCAGAACTGCTGCTATGGAGATGATACATGGGCAAGCACGATGTAGCGCAAGCTGCAGTAAATGTATCATCCAAGCGCTTGCTGCCCTGTCAAAGGACAGGGCTGCTCAGTGCACGTGCCACCCTTTTGCTTTGTCATGCCCTTACTCGCTAAACACAGGCTGGGGAGCAGGGTTCCTTTCCCAGCTCCAGCTTGGGACTGTTTGGGAGCGTGGTTTTGGGGTAAAGCTACAAATGTAATTTCACAGATGAGAGCGGAAGGGCTGGTTCTATTCTCACTCCTGCTTTCACACAACTCGTAAAAGGTTCAGCTGGGTTTCTTCAACTGCACTGTAGTAGCCCCCGCTGATGTGGAGACCTGCCCCCCTCTAGCTTGCTGTAGTACAAATCGGCAGAAAGATTTCAGAAAGGAGTGCATTATAGGGAACATCTTGAGATTGAAATAGGGTTCATTAATTTCCCTCAATTACTTCTGGATCGTTGAGAGGGAAATTAGGCCCAAAATACAAGAGCTGAATGTGTCCATACAGCAGGAAGCTTTCCTGAACAGGCAGGTTCACTGTTGATGGTTGCATTTTCCATACCAGCACAAGTGTTTGGATTTTATAACTTCAGAATATAAAGGTTAAAGCAAATCTTTCCTCTGATGTGGCACAAGTTTGTTTGGAAACATTGAGGCGTCTCGTGAGACATCCTCAGAAGAGTCCTTTCTTCTTATCCACCTCACCAGTTCTCTTCCACTGTTTCCTTCCCAAGAATAAACAACAACAAAACAGCTACTCTTTTGGTGATCCATCAGACGAAATACTCCTTGGACAGACAGTGGTAGTAGAAGCAATGGGAACATAAAGGGTGAAGAGCAAGAAGGGGACAGCTGGCCTTGGACTAATTGCTTGAACGCGCAGGCATCCTGAGAAAGCCACAGATGTCCCAAGCTTGATGACTGGAGCCCGGAGCTCCATATGTGTGCTTTGTGTGTGTATACCTTTTGTTTGTCCTCCAGTGCTGGCCTTGAAGCAAGGCAGGTATTTCCAGGGTGGGGGATGGGAAGAGACACAGTTCCTTCCATGTTTCTCTTGTGAAGCTGGATTGAAACGTGGGTGGTGGGTTTGGGGAAGGTTGTTTGGTTTTAGTGCCTTGTGGTGCTAATTAGCTGTGCTTCCTAAAAACTCTGCAAAGGGGTAGTGTGTGGTCTTAAGCAGGGAGGATCATGCAACGATCAGTCAGAGATCACCAATTGTCTGAAATAATTGAGTGGAGGGATAGGTATCAGGATGGAGTGTCAGCCTCTTGGAACTGCCAAGATAACTTAAGAAAGCATACTTCTAAATAGGCACTGCTTTGCATGGTCTCTTTGTCATCTCTTGCGTCTTCCTGAGCTTCTGTTTCAGTAGCTACGTGTCTTACTTTGAATCTTTCCTTCCTCCTCCATTTTCTTTCAACTGTTATTTTGCCCCATTTTAATTTCTTTCATTCTGCTTTTCTCTGCCACTCTGTGATTTCTTCCTTTTTTTCCCTGTCTTTTCCCCTTTTGTTAGAGAAAGTCATATAATAACTGTCATTGTTTTTTGCAAAAACTGCTGAAATGCAGCACCTCTGATTGAGCTGCCCGTTCTTCAAGGAAAAAGGTTAGAAATTGGACACAATTCAGAAAGTATCTGAGAGAGTAAGTAAACAATCAGAGCTCGTGTTTTATGAGAGACTCAAGGGACTAACAGAAGAGAAGGCTCTAGGGAAACGTTATTGCGGCCTTCCAGTACCTGAAGGAAGCCTACAAGAAAGCTAGAGAGGGACTTTTTGCAAGGGCATGTAGCGATAGCACAAGGGGTAATGGCTTTAAACTAGAAGAGGGTAGATTTAGAACTAGATACAAGAAAGAAAGTCTTTACTATGAGGGTGGTGAGGCACTGGAACAGGTTGCCTAGAGAAGCTGTGGATGCCTCATCCCTGGAAGTGTTCAGGGCTGGGCTGGATGGGGCTTTGAGCAACCTGCTCTCGTGGAAGGTGTCCCTGCCCATGGTGGGGGGGCTTGGAACTGTGTATTCTATAAGGTCCCTTCCAACCCAAACCATTCTATGATTCTATGACTCAGTCTACCTAGTTTATTAAAGAGAATGTTAAGACATAACTTAAGCGTGGTCTGTAAATACTGATAAGGAGGATAGGCATTTGGTAATAAAGTATATTACAGTCTTGGGGGCAAAAAACTTATTGGAAACTAATAGTTGTAAGCTGTAGGTAGACAGATTAAATGTGGAAATAATAGGCCTATTTGACCACTGGATGAAGTTACTAATTGGAACAAGCCACCTGAAGCTCTGGTAAGTTTTTCCCCTGAAAGACTGTTACACTTCATCTTAAACTGCTGTGTGTTTTCTTAAAACCTAAATCCTAGTTTAGCTTCAGCTGCTGGACTTGCAGCAGGAAGTATTTGAAGATGGTTTCCTGATCCATGTTATGCATTAGCTCTGACTAGATCAATGCAGCAGCCTCTCTGGCCTTAAAATCCATGGAGCTGTGAATTTCTAATCACACACTTGAAATCTGTAAAAAGTCACTTATCTCT